ACGTACGTACCTCTGCCCTGAATGCCGTAACCGGTAGCACCTTCGTTGACCTGTTTCGAAAGTGAAACTTTCGATATTCTTCTGGACAAGCCTGACACTCTATATAGAACGTGATACGCACGAGCCGGCCGGCACTTTCTCTCTGCTCCACTTTGTTTGGTCGACCATGATAGTGAGAGCGCGTTTATATAGGACGGTTGCGCTTGACCGCAATTGTGTCACACCTGTAGCGGTGCGACGCGCGATATCGCGGCCGGATCCCGCAAGATCGCGCGGCTGCGAATTCCTTTCATGCAGCAGCCGGCAAGTGAATGGCGAAAATCGCCGAAAAAGTATGTCATTACCGACTACACGTTTACGCAAGACGGATAGAGAGGTGATCAGCGCCACGCGGTAGCTCCCGCTCGCGTGTGTATAGACTTGGCCGATCGACGATGTATCGATATACGTGTTCGACGAGACGCGAATAATTCTTATAGTCGTTCGTATCGGAAATCGGTCATCGGCGAATGATGTAATTCTTACTGTGTGTACCTGTAACAACTGCCTGTGTTTACCTGCACGCGAAGCGGAAGCCGCGATGGGAGGGAGCTATAAAGCGCTTGAATATTCCGAGCAGCACGCAGTGAAAGGTAGCTAGTCATCATACGGTCAATATAGATGCGTAGACCTACTTCTCGTAGTTCAAGGGCGCCTTGGCGGCACCGAATAGCACGAGCAGACCGTGAATGCCCCAATTCTCGGCCAAGAATAAACGTGGGGAGTGACAACAGCGTCGTGTGATACCGATGCGTGGGTAGACAGTTACGATCGCACAGCCTTAAAAGGTTTAGCCTACATGAATTTTGTAATTTAATTGCGTGAATTAACTGTAGAAAATCAGTTATAACTGTAGAAAATCATTTCCATCCTGCATTCAGACGGTGCTAGTGTGCTTACCGGTTACATAGAATGAAAACTTCAGAGATGCAGACATTATCAGGAGTAGATAATAGGGATCTCCCTATTATCTACTCCTGATATTATACATGTCTGATACTTGCCACGATATTTCTCATTTCATATGATTTAGTACTCAATAATCGAGTTTTGGTGTTGAAATTAGACGTTGAAGTTTAAGAGTGTCATCGAATGTCATTCCAAAAGAATTTTCCAACTCCTCAACTGACTATAATAACTTGGTTTGGCAGCGGGTCGGTGGAGGGACCATCAGAGAACCGGGTACTCAGTAACTGCATGTATAACAACCTGAGCTGTTTCATTCATTAAGGCGTTCACTAAGACGTTGTGAACCAAACACTGTATAACTAACATAAACGTAACATTAAGATTTATTGCGCAGGTCTACTTTATGATTGATATACAATAAAATACATTTTACTTTGAAAAAATTTCCACTAAATAATTTTTTATTTTAAGCGGGGGACACACCATGCCAATTTCGCTATGCGATCATATCTGCAGCGACATTCGCACCAGCATGCGGTAATTGAGCGGACACACCATGCGAATTTATTCGCACAACCGCAGCGGACACACTACACGCGATCTACTGTCGCCGCACGGCTCCAACAGCCATGTGGTCAAGTGATTATCATACTGATCAATTATTCGCTGCATTATAACATCGGTCGGTTCGATTTTCGCTTCTACGGACGGACACACAATGCGAATCTGTACGCAGCGGTAAAATCCGCAGCGAAAATATCAAACATGTTTGATCGCTGCGAATTTCGGTGCGGATGAAATTCGCGGCGAAATACGCCCGCGCTTGAGTGGACACACCATGCGAATTCCGCTGCGATTTTAACAATCGCTGCGGTAGTGCGCATAACTTCGCATGGTGTGTCCCCCGCTTTGCTACTACACATGTAACATTCCCAACTGAACTTGTATATTTTGTCTACGGCTTTTGTAACAATGATGTACTCAAATAATATCGCGAGCTAATAATGCATATATACAAAATGTCCTATTAGCTCTCCTATTAGGCGCGTTCACACACAATAAAAACCGCGATGCTAATCGCGATGAAATACCGAGATAATTGTGTCGTTGTTCACACAGGCGAATAATTGCGCTAATCGCCGAGCGGGATAATTCTATTAATCGAACTGCGCATGCTCACTGCCGGAATGATGCTCACTACGCATGCTCACTGCTCACTCGCTTGGAATGATGGGATAGAAAATACCGGGATTATTTGCGCGAGCGTTCACACACGCAAATAATCGCGCTAAAATACCGGGATTATTTGCGCGAGCGTTCACACACGCAAATAATCGCGCTAATTCCAAAGCGAGCGTTCACACACGCAAATAATCGCGCTAATTCCAAAGCGAGCGTTCACACACGCAAATAATCGCGCTAATTCCAAATAATCGCAGTCAAATCGCGATTATTAGTGAGTATTATTGCGTTCACGTTACTTGTAATAATCTCGGTATTTCGATCGCGATGCAAAAACCGGGATTTGCATCCCGCTTATTCGCGCCAGTGTGAACGCGCCTATTAGCTCTTGGTAATACTGATATACATTGTAACATTGATGTAATTACATTGTAGCGCACAAGCTGTATTGTATATTTTGAGTGCGCCATCCACCATATTACGGGGGTTTTCATGTTCCGCACAAGAGTTCAGGAACAAGAGTTCAGCCCTCTTAAATTGACTACGTCACGAATTTTCTATGGTGTATATTTGTAAAAATTGTGCTGCCATTTTTTTTCACATTAAAAGTAAGTGCTAACGGGACTAAATGTGTTGTCAAATTCTTACCTGGTAAGATTGTTTCTCAACTAGTTATAAATCCAAAAACCTGGACGATTTGATATTATCAAGAGCAGATGAAGAAGGCCTTCTTTATCTGCTCTTGATATTATGATCCTGACATAATTGCTTGCTATGGGCTATGAGTCACGAGTGTATGTTTACATCGAACAATATAGTAAAATAGGAAGTATAATGCAGCAATTTAACCATACAAAGTGAACAGAATTACTTACATTTTGTGAAATAGTGGAAATATTTTTTTCTTTTACTATTTACGGTGACGTAATCACTTTAAATGGCAAGCGTAGATTGATGCATGAGCATATAATGGGTATTTGAGATGGGTCATGATAATCATAGATCATCAAAACAAGTGCCGAGCGGAAACGGGCGGGTTTTAACACAATAATCAGTGTTAGAAATCAGAGCTCGACCGGATACACTTTCATACACTTTCGTTTACCACTTTATGGGACGGATAGAGGGGAATGAAATACGAATGGACTGATAGATACATAGAAGAGATAAATAGATATATAGATAGATAGCTAGACAGAGAGATAGTTAGATAGATAGATAGATAGATAGATGGATGGATAGATAGATGGGTAGATAGATAGATAGTTAGATAGACAGATAGATAGATATATAGATAGATATATAGATAGATCCATAGATAGAGTGAGAAAAGGGAGAACGGGGCAGAATGAGAGATAGCCATAGAGAATGGGCGAGTGTGTAAAATAAGATTAATAAGAGTGAAAAGCGGAGGAGAGGTGGAGGGGATAGGTATCGTATGACGTAGAGTGATCGCGATTCAAAAAGAGACGCTGTTATTCTGCTTAGCATACACTACCAGATATAATACGTGATGTAGGACTAGTATATAGTCTAGTAAGACTGAAGTCGTATTTGGCCTTTATAAGAACGTCAAACATCAAGGAAAGAACAATAACAAACTAATACCCTGATAATTCCTTCCCGAGCTTTTATATTGAGAAAACTACTCTGCATAGACGTTTCATTTTATAAAATTTAGAAAAATAAATGTTCTAATTTACGCGTATACATATTTACTTACACCACATACAATGAAGCATAGTGTTAAATATATCAGTTATAACCCTGAGTTATAATTCCATAATCAGCATGTATTACAGTATAATTTGTTGCTCAACCATGGTATACTTTATAGAATAATCGTGCGACATACAACTTTGATGACGAGTTCATACCATATATTCTATACCGTATTAACGACTTCTACACATGTACAGACATGAGAATATAAAATGATAAAAGTACCTGTCCTACACGCTTGCCCTTCCCTTCACTGCAGCCTCTTTGTCAGTACACATCAAAGCCTTCTCAATGAAATGAAAGTGGGATCGCGGATGTGGAGGCTAGTGGTGGGGTGGTTGTTGGTGGTGAGGTGGGGGTAGTGGTGCAGGCCCGTAGCCAGCTTTATATTGGGTGGGGTTAGTTTTTTAATGTTGACAATTTGCTCGGCAGGGGCGTGTACAGGATTTGTACCAGGGGGGGGGGTCTAACCGTAACCCAAAGTTTCGAGCACGCGAAGGGGAGGTCTGGAGGTAAGGGAAAATTTTAAAAATTAGACCCCCTCAGATGCGTTTTCTGCGCGAGCAAGGGGGGGTCCGGACTCCCTGGACCCCCCCTGTACACGCCCCTGCTCGGGCGCGAAGCGACCAGGCGAGGGAGCCAAGCGACCGAGCGGGGGGGGGGGAGGGTGTGGGAGGGGGGTGTTCACTGTTCACCCTCCCGCACGATGGAGATTTTGCAATTATTACACTAAAATGGAGCGAAATTTCTTGCAAATTAAAAAAAAAAATTTTTTTGGGCTTTGGGGGGGGGGTTCGTTTGAACCCCCCGAACCCCCCCTGGCTACGGGCCTGTGGTGGGTGGTGAGGTGGGGGTAGTGGTGGGTGCTGTTGTTAGGGGTGGTTTGGTCTGGCCTGGTTTGGCTTTGCGACATGATGTATCACCTTATCCATGAAACCGAAGATGGTATGAATGCAATTCTTCACAGCGGAAAGTAAACAGAGAATTTTACCAGGCAAGTTTCTACTATGTAACAACTAGCATGTTAAATACACCCCATCGATTACTTGAAAACACACTATATCATCTTAATTAAACATATGCTCACACTCATCCTTATAAGCTCGCTTAGTACTAATGAATTATCCTCATACAATCCAAGAAGCATACATGCTATTTCATATACACCTTGCATTTGGAAGTTGTAACACACATATACAAAAGATTTCCACAAAGTACACGGTTTACCTTCACTAGTAATTTATGGTCATGACAAAAATTAATGTCAATTAATTATTTCATGCTTCCAACAGTTCACAACCAAACATACAGGTTGACAATGTCACAATTTAAACTTTAGAAATATGCCAATTTCCAAAATTATCCATTTAATCAATTTCCTCAACATGTCATGATTGTACAGATAACTATTTTTTATTCATTTTTGCTATAGAATGTAATGAAATTATTTTTTTATTAAACCCGTGGATAGGAAAACACAAATAAACAAGTATCATTATCACCAATTTTACCAATTTTGCCTGATATTTTTCACCATATTCGTATCCTAGTGTACACTGGAATGTCACTAACAACACAAGTGTATTCTCATGGTAAATATTGCACATTGCAGTACATTAATTTATCTCTGAGCGTTCCAATAAGCAATCCATTATCACGATAAACTGCTACGGTGGAGCCAATCAAATTTGTTCCATCATCTGCATAAACTTCAGAAATCGACTGTACTTTTCCTTCCTTCATCCTTAATCGGAGAACCTAATATAATATAAGAATAACAGAATGTAATAAAAATAATTATAATAAATATTATTCATCACCGTCGTCATACTCATCATGTCCGTAATTTTACACAACATCTATGTCTATATAGCAAACACTCTTCATACCTGGGATGGAGCAGTATGGTTATCTGGGTCACAATCCCACAGTAGCAACTTGTATCCTACAGGATGGCAGCCGATGTAAACGTCCCCTGATGCATCATCGACGAAGAGATTGTCAGGTGCTGTTCTCAGTGGCACTCTCTGAAATGTAGATTGAGGATGAGTGAGTTATGAGCTTTGAGATTGAATACGCAAATTCATTCTCGTTACTATAACTGATTCAACATCAAGTTCTATACTTTTCAAATTGTCTTCGAAGAAGCTGGAAGCATCTAATGGTTCGAATATATGTCACCAAGAGCTGAATCGATCATGACATCACGTTGGCATGACAAAAAACTGGCCGATTCTAAACAATCACCAGACTCCCACACCTTTACGGCGTGAAGATGGTGCTGTCTTTTGTTTAACATTGTAGTCATAATTGCACTTTTTATAGATTTCCAAAAGTTTAAAGTGAACAGGAACTCCCTATTAAGTTCCCTGGGGGTATTACGCTATTCAGTTTTCTCATTTATCAAAATAATTCGCACCTCACCCCTGCCTTTAAATTTTCTATTCCCATGATAAACTATAAATGTGTGTATCATCAAACTCATTAATATACTAGGTCCGCTTCCTATATAAAAAAGAGCACACCGTGTATACAGCATAACCATCATTGAGAGCCAGCCAGTGTAACAACATGGGAACGAGAACTCACTGCTTTGGCTCTCTAGATACTAACATTACTGAATACCTACAATGAATCTTGAGATCAAGTAGCAGAAATATAACCAATGACATGCGTGGTGTGTCTCTTACAAACCGCACCTTGAAAAACCTCTTGGTTATCCCTTCTCTCAACAAAATTCACAGAAATACAACAAGTGATGAGATATAATTAATTAATAATATAACCATCATATCCACAGATCTATGACCAGAGATGCCAACACTTTTCTGAGCAAACTAGTGAGGATATCTGAAATCTGTAGTCCGAGGGTCACGCAGTGAACCAAGTATGTTAGGGGGGTTCGGTGCATGCCCCCCGGAAAATTTTTGACTCCGAGATGCAATTTCCTGCATTCTGCATGGGACCCAAAATGATAATAAGTTCACACTGATATTTCCTGCTAAATACATGTAGTTATTTTTAATCATGTTATATCAATGTAACACTGAAACAAAACACTTAAAATATCATAAAAATGATTTTTTTTCGATCGTAATAAAAATCGTAGTTATATGCAAACTGGTCGTAGTGGTCAAAATGCAAACGAAATTCGTATAAAATACGGATAAATCGTAGTGGTTGGCATCTCTGTATGACTTACAGATCTATGACTTACCTGCACTTCTTCCAGATAATTGTCTTTTAAAATCTTGTAGGAAATAAAGTATCCATAGCAAACTACATATACATACCTGAAAGAATCATCCTGATATCAGACAATGCAATAACATCATAATCTTATGGTTCATAATTCAATAAATATTTCATAAATTATATGAATATTAATATTTAAATGTAAATACATTGTTTATGGAGAGTTGGGTTGCTTTAAAAATAGTGTATACACACTGCAGCAAAACACAATGAATTGAAACCACGACAAAGTTCTTGATTCTTGTGAACACGACAAACTCTAAAGGAGAACGATTTCAGTAATAGTGATATAATTCAAAATATCAATATAATCTACAATACATTTTAATTCCCACGATGACTCTAGACAATTTGAACATTAGACGTCCATTAGGAACCTACTTTCCCTCAGGACTCATGGTAATGCCGTTGGCCATACTCAGATCAGACGCCACAACTTTGGCTTTCGTGAACTCATTGTAATGTAGCACTGCTCCCCAATTAAGCTCCAATCCAATTGTCTCGAATGTCTTCCAGGGAAGATTCACAAAGTGATGAAACTTGGTGATGAAGAAGCTATTCTCGGAAGTTGCTACCAAACCGTTGCCACTGAAAAAATAAACGAATGTGCGTGTGTCAGGGTAAAAAATACACGGGAGCGATGAGCGATTCGCTCTTCAAACCTCCGAAATCGCTCCTGTGAGGCTCAAAATAGCTCCCGTAAAAATTTTTGACAAGAGCTAATTTTTCCACAGACTTTTGAAAAAGAGCTCCCGTAAAAAAAGGAATTTTTTCCCTGGCGTGCGTGTACAGATGCGCCAGGTCGTCCCGTTATAGCACTACAACTATAGGATTACACTGGTAGTTGTTTAATAAACATAAACATTCCATTTGATGAATGTGTTGAAAAATAAATGTATTTGCGTTAATTGGAAAAAATAGTTAAATGGATAAAGATCGAAAAATACAGAAAAAAGGTAAATAATAAAAAACCTGATGGGATTCGATCCAACGACTTTTCAGCCGTGACGCCGTGCTATACGCGTTCGGCTATCCAGGCTTATTGGGTTTCTAGATTATGGATGTGCCATGAATATGACAACACTGTGACGTCATTGAGGCAGTTCAGGAATCCATGTTTAACCCTCCTCTTGAGGGTCAAAAGGTTATCAGACACTTACTCTTCGCACGTCAGTGGAAAGCACATTTCATGGTCCTTTCAATAAAGTGATAAAAATGGTAGGTTAGCACTGAAACAAAAAAGTTTTTCACTCTGTCCATTAGGCCATGTCCTCAGAAAATGTCTGATATCTGACCTTTCCCCCACTGCCCTTTGAAATGTGACCTCCAATTTCACACTGGTGATGGGTTTCCTATCCATCACACTATACACCGAATATTAAGAGCATAGGTCGAGCCGTTCAGATTTGTGCCGAAATTCCGTATTTCCTCCTATACCTTAAGTTAAGGGAAAAATATTCCCCTTCCGTTTACACATCTTGACCTTTGACCCTTGACCCCCAAATTTGTTATTCTGAGTCCTTTTCATGATCCCCCCCCCCCCCCGTCCCGAATATCGTGACCGTACGTCGAGCGGTTAAGATTTGTGCCCAACTGTTGACGCACAGACGAACGCACGGACATTAATGCAATTCTACAAGCTGCATCTGACTTCGTCCGATGAGCTAAAAATATTCAAATGCATTCAATTACAGTACATTTAAGAATGCTTACGCAACAAAGTAAGGGCATCAATGATATCAGTGCTATTATGTGAACGCTATACGAGCACTGCGATCCAACAGTTCTCAAACATGATTCTCAAATTCGTTGTACACAATATCCTATTACCAGAACAAGATTAGACGAACGAGGTGTCAATCTTAATATGGTTCCTGACCGGTATGATATAAAGCTGATGAAAAAACCACACATCTGATCCGGATTACAACAAAATTTTAACGACCAACAACAATGTGTTCCTTTGCTACTTGTGTGCAATGTGTTCCATGTGTACCTTTGTTAAGCTGGGTTTATACTACCAACTTTGTGTTGGCGAATTGGACCAACTTCCCAACTATACAACCGACAATCGGCAGCGTAAACCCAAAAGTTGGGAAACCAACCGATCCGACTAGTTGAAAGATTAGAACATGTTCTATTTTCGCCAACTCGATGTTGGCGAATTGGAAAGTTGGCCCAACTCGCCAATTTGCCAACATAAAGTCGGTAGTGTAAACCCAGCTTTACCCTCACCCTTGCTTGTGAGCACACATGCGAGCCACTTACACAGTGAGCAGTGGATCGACAATGGTTCGCTCGTACACAAGGAGGTTCTCGGCTTCTTTGTAGTCAAACACTTCGACCGTCTCCGGCGTATGACTGATCACAAACACCGTCGTTTTACCTGTGAAGCAAATGCTTGGAGTAATGCACTGGATCAAACACCGAAGTCTATGTGGCATCTCAGTTATTGTAAATTTTTTGTTGTCAGCTTACGTGACCGAATCATCGTGTAAGCATTTACTAATGCAGGTAAGTCTCCTGTGAATATATTTCTCAAATCTGGCAGGTACTGCTATATGAGAAGTGGAAATATTTGAGGGCTGCTCTAGAAAAACATCACTTCTAGGTCTGGAACATCTTTGGTACCTTCTTTTATATAATAGCTTATTCCATGTGGATTAAATTTCTTTCTGTCTAATTCGCCTTTTATCGTAACTTCTTTGACAGGCTGCCTGGGCTTGTCAAAATCGAAGGTATAGATTCTGCCTTGCATCTTGGAGAACTTCTCATGAAGACTAGCCATGGAGTACGTCAAACCCTGTATTACAGTGAATTATGAAGTGATAAACATGTACACCGGATTTACCCATCGACGTATCATGCGAGATTGAAATCACAGATAATTTCTGAGACTTTATTCATTAGCTTATTTCATGAGCATACACATACAAACTGAACAAGCAAAGAAATCAACAACTAAACTAACATATTACACCCAACAACGAGAACTCTAAAAGCTGCTGGTACTACATACCCACCATATAGTGGATTAGCTACTATAACTCACCGAAGTTATTAATGCCTTCCCGCTTGGCAAAAGTGTGATGTCCTCAGATCCATATTCTTTCAAATACAAAATGAAAGTGTCAATGACACTGTAGCTCACCACAAAAAAGGACACAAATGAGTGAGTGAGAAGAAGTCAGTTTTCATTGAGCAACCATCGACGTACATTATAGAAACGAAGAGTATATATGGGAGAACTCCCATTCTATACTCTTGATAATTATATGTGTAATTTTTCATGTGAAAATAAATGTTTGAGATGTGAAAGTCTGAGATGAGGGCGAGTGATGCCGTTACACCTAAATGATCGCCATTTAACGTTTTTATAATATTCAGATTTAGGCACTGCCTAAAAGCGGAGCTCCCGATGTGTAACGTGTAAGATTGAGAGGATACGCTTATTCCACGTAGCTGCTATATACCACGTGACAATGGTGTTTCCCTGCCCATAACACAACTTTTGTCAAAGGTTAATTGGTTGAATGGAAGTGTTTACTTCGATGAGTTTTTCTAGGCAGTAGTACACGGTTGCCATCTGTATATCGCAATAATAATTTATAAACCAAAATGAATCACAATTTGTGATGGTCAATGGCGCCAGGCCCGTAGCCAGGGGGGGTTTGGGGGGGTTCGAACGAACCCCCCCCCGAGCCCTTCCCCCCAAGCAAAAAATTTTTTTTTTTTAATTTGCAAGAATTTCACCTCAGGTCGCTCCATTTTAGTGTAATAATTGCAAAATCTCCATCGTGCGGGAGGGTGAACAGTGAACACCCCCCTCCCACACCCTCCCCCCGCTCGGTCGCTTGGCTCCCTCGCCTGGTCGCTTCGCGCCCGAGCAGGGGCGTGTACAGGGGGGGTCCAGGGAGTTCGGACCCCCCCTTGCTCGCGCAGAAAACGCATCTGAGGGGGTGTAATTTAAAAACTTCGCGTGCTCGCAACTATGGGTTACAGTTAGACCCCCCTGGTACAAATCCTGTACACGCCCCTGCCGAGCAAATTGCCAACATTGAAAAACGAACCCCCCCCAATAGAAAGCTGGCTACGGGCCTGAATGGCGCTATACCCGCTTTGTAGCGATGGCGTTCGAAATAAATAGGTTATGCTGCGTTCTGACATCTTTTGTAAAACTTGACTCTAATATAGACATTTTATCGACAGGGTGGAGAGGAAATACCAATCTTGCATTAAAACTATTGTCAATGAAAGCTTGTAAAACGAACCAGACGAGTGTGACACCACAGACTGTTGTCTGCGTGTCTATATTATAATATGCTATATAATTGCCAAAACCTACCTAATTTACATAATTTTTTTTTAAATATCAAAACCCCTAGCCCTTATTCATTCACATACCAAAAATGAGCAAAATCCGTTGAACCTGAACTGACTAGTGGCAATTCCCATTTTTGCCAAAAGAATTTCCGTGGCTCGCAAGTACGTCGACTGGCGTGCTCCAAAATAGGACGTTCAATATGGGAGCATAGCAGTAACAACTATACCCAATTTCAAACATGTGGGTCAAACGGTTCCTGAGTTATCATTGACCGTAGCCAAATGTTGACGGACGGACGGACGGACGATGTCAAGGTGAGCTAAAAACGTCCAAATTTAATATATGTATGTGATCTCATCCCAGTTTGATATTAAGGGGACAATTGAGTAAAAGCAAACCATTGATAAGTCATTGGCCTGGGCCAGCTGGTGTAAGAAAATTAAAACGCAAAAACTTTACTTATTATTTATTATTAAATAATTCTAGGCCCACGCATGCACGCACGCACGCACACACACACGTGTATTAGATTATTTAGTGGTGAGAGCAAGAACATTTAGGCTTACCCAAAATTCCTTTCACATGAAAACATTCGCCAGGTGCATGGCTGTACGTTTCTTTGTTAAGATCCAATATATACCTAGTAAAATAAAATAGTACACGGAATGTAATTAACTAAACAGTGTCTTCCCTGCCTCTGCTGGCAACGTGGCAATACCTCTGTTCACATATCAGCTCTATATTTTACAAAATGCAGATGCTACGTAAATAACTCATTAGATCACATTGCTGGTCTGGAGGATTTTTTTAAATGGCATGACTTTGCTATTTTCACACATTTAAATACAGTCAAAACTTACACGTGTACTTAACAAATGTACACTTGAACAATGTACATAATGATAATGGACATTCGAATAAAAGGGATTGGCTGTTACGAACAGGTGGCTATTCCATAAAGGCAAATTCACTGAGTAACTGAAGCCAATTTTGCCAGAAGTTGCCTTTATAGACAGGGCGTTCCCTCTATAGAAGTGGGAACCAGTACAGATCTGCCTGTACAGCAGACTACTGACCTATTTCAGTTTGCAGTTTTTATTTGACTCGATTGGCCAGAAAATACCTCCACACATAGCAAAACTCTCTACAAGCTACAGCTAAAATACACCGAAATTCTCCAAATCAATGTCGGTGCAAAAACATGTGTGAAATCTAAGTGGTAAGAATATATCCTTGGAGAATATACTTCTGTCAATGTATCACAACTTAATTTCTAAAATTAAGAATTTTTAACTCCATCAAGTAAAATATGGTCAATATACTTACACAAGTCGAATAACTCTATAGGTGAGATACGCCAAAATTAGGCCGAATCCAGCCTTCAACATCATTTTACTGTGTCAAGTACTCTTGTACTTGTTTCACTCTTGTGCTGCCTATTAAATAATAACAAGAAATCTAATAACCATAAAACCATAAACCAATCTACATTTATAGAATAGCCCACACTCATTGGCAAAACTGTGCGTATATGCTGCAATGACAATGACAACTATGTGTGACTTAATTGTCTGCACAGTGCTGCTATTTTCATGAAGCTTTAGCCACCGATATTACTACCCTGAACCTTTGTATATTGACATATAAACGATCAACAGTAAAATAATAATGCGATCTTATTCTTTGAGACACTGAATTTAAAGCATGTCAACACTGCATGTAAAAGAACAAGATCTGTCAATGTTAACATGTACAGCCAGGTGCTGCCAGGTACATGTAACTTCCCATTGGAAATACATGCAAAAGCTATAAATCGGTATGTTTGCCAGGAAAGCATCGCTAAATATAGCAAAATGTGCAGTCAAGCTGACCGTTTAAACAGCCGACGATGTCAAGGTGAGCTAATGAAGGTAAACAAACAAGAAATGTAGGCTATTTACTACTATCAAAGATTCAAAGCCTTAATGTTTCTCTACTCTCGTTCTCATATTATTAGTAATAACTTTCTGCAAATAGAAGTACACTGCACGCACACAGGCCGCTGTGGTCAAACAAAATTGTAGTTTTTGTTAAATTATGAACACAAAATTATAAAACACTACGATTTCGTTTGTGCACACCGGCTTACGCGCGGTATACTTCACTACTTGTGTGAACATTGCAGAGGAGCATTTGACCGGCATTTATAAGAAAATAATCAATAAGAAAATAAGTAAAAGCTATTACTAATATAATGCAAAAGAGAGTAGCACTAGAGAAACAGCCAAACATATAAATATATGTCTCAAAAACTCGCTTATTAAATTTTTAACACCTTTTACCTATTATTTGAATTTATATATATATATATATATATATAGGTTCTCCCTACGTTGCGCAACGGGCGCGCGCGCCCGTTCGTTTGGGAAAACTCCGCCCGCTGTTTGAATCGTTTGGCGCCCGCGGCTTTGGGAAAGAACTCCCGACCCCGTTTGAATTCGCTCGGCGCACCACGTTTAATATTTCCACCGACCATTAGAAAAAGTTTGCCAAGGCGGCGGGAATCGATCGTCAATGAATTGCGTTCGACCAGGCGACATCCGACGCATGTATTTTTACCGTACCGACGCATCGTACTGAAGACAAGTACAACAAGTTAACCTGACAATGAACAGGTTAACCCTGTCACTTAACTGTACCACCGACCGGCTATGCTTATATAGTACACAGAACGCCCAATGCGTTATGGTGTGGTGGCGATTTACGGCATTAATTAGTCGGAACGGTATAATAGTACACGCGACCGCGCCGCGGACCCCCCTAGTCTTCCCCGCCCTCCGCCCGCCCTGCGCCCCTAGGTTTTTCCCCCGCCTCCCCCTTGCCCCTCCCTTCCCCCTTACCCTCCCCCTCCCCCTGTTTGCAATTCATCCCTGGGAAACCCTGTTATATATAATAATATATATATACAGGCGGTAAAAATTTACTGTTAAACGGACTCCCTACCACACTCACACCCCCCACACACACGGGGTCCTCCAGTCGTGAGAGGTTCAAACTAAAGATAGTAACCAAAAAAGACATTTGCGGGGGTGTCCTGCCAAATTTCTTAGGACAGTTGCTAAAAAAAAGACGGTAATTGGGGTACGCTGGAGGCTTGTGCTCTGGAAGCGAAACTAGTTAGGTGACTCAGTCCAAGCAGAAGGTTGTCCAGGGCGAGGTGCAGCCACGCGACTCCTGCGTGGAGTGTCATTAGTTGAGAGCCCTCTCCGCCGTCGCGACACAGCCCGTCTCCATCGGACCCACGAGTCAACGTAGGGCTTCATCGCTCACTACCCTCACTCTACTCCTCCCCCGAGAGCTAGTTCGGCGCTAAACGCGACCACGGCTCCGTCCGACTGTTACTCGCGCCACTAGTGTTATAGGCGAGATGGGAACTTTGTGGCTAGGTCTCGGCTATACTTGGACTATATTACTAGGTGCTACACTGATTTTAGCTGCCGCGTGTCTTAGCTATACTGATAGGGCCTACCTCGGAGTGCACTAGTAGGGCCACGGAAGTTCCCATCTCGCTTAACACTGGGCCTAGGCGCGGAGCAGGAGCTCATCACGAACCGCAGAGTAGACAGAGTGGGTGTGGTGGGTCTGGCGGATGAGAGTCGCCCACGCGCGCGTGCTATTTACACTTAGTGTGGTATTACACCACACACACGTGTTCTTATAATCTTCCTGACTTCTTGATCGGCGCTCTTCTCTGCTCAACTCGGCTCCGCCATCGCCGCCTCCAGTTCTCAATTATATGCTGCGCCTATCACTACGAGTCATTTAATTTACGGCTGTCAGCGGCAATTATTAGAATTGATAAGATGAAACTCAAACAAACGCCGCCACTGTCCGCCATTTTTCAAAGAATATCCATAATAACCGTGAGCAGAGAGAGTTCGCTGGCAAATCTAGCGTAGTAGAGCTACACCTGTAGCATAGCGAAGGCGGTACTGAGCTCTCCGTTTCACTTACACTATCTATCCGCCTTTACCGCTGTACGCCAGCCTCAAACCCCTGGCGTTTTCGCTAGCCTCGTTATCGATCCAGGCAAGCTGTGAATACCTGGGAGAAATGACGTAGGCAAAAGCCTGCTCGCTGGTATTGGTGATTGGCCCGTTACAGCTCTCTGATTGGGCACGATCGAGTGTTTCCGCGTTGCGGGCTGGAAGAGGCAAAGTGGTACACGGCGGTGAAGTGTAGTGAAGCGGTTTAACCGGACCACCTGCCTGTATCCATAGCAGGTTAAGTAGAGTAGTATAGTCATAGAATATAGATAGACAATCGTTTGTCTATCTAATTTCTGATGAGATAGTATTCCTTCGCTCGCCATGAGACATAAGCAACATATCGCAGCCTACTTAGCCGCGCGTTTACAACGTTCAAATATTATCAGCGAGCCTGTGTCGAAATTCTCCTCCTTTTGTAACTGTCCGTATTTTCGGAAGCGTAAATAACGTATCGAATAGTATTAATATTAATGCGATAGTTGCAAAACATGTATCCAGGTGAGATTCAAATACATCGTGGTAATTAACCATTGTGTTTCTATTTACGAAATTATACGAATAGATTAGGAAGTTTGTGTGTTTCAAGCTACACCCCCAGCCGCCCAGGTATGGTGTATGGCGAAGGGGGGTCAGGCTCCTCCGGCCGTGTAACTAGGTGGAGAGCCTGCCCCGGCCTTTACTAGTACTACTATCTAGTCTGCTAGGCCTATCTTCAAAATACGTCACTTAATTTAATTATTGCAGAAAACTCACGGCAATGAGCTGAACCCACTGATCTCTATAAATAACTATTTAGATATTTATAGATATCTAGGAGTTAGGATATCGTTCAGATTATAGAGCGTTTTATTGATTCTAGTGAGGCGGCGCGGGAGGAGGCGCGGGGCTAGTGAGGGGACGGGGAGGCACGTGAGACCGCGGGCGAAGTGTACACGACTGCCACTCGCGGGGTCCGGGTTCATACCCGTGGTGGTCGTAGAGGATGAAGTGAACGGCAGCGTCGATCTCGCCGACCAATCGGAAGGCCGCAGCTCCGTGCACCTAAAGCTGACGCGAGCGGTTTTTGTGGTTGCATTATTTAGCGCTGACGCCGGAGGGCGGAGCCCAGCCGGCAGTTAAGAGGTGCGCTGCGCGCAGTGCGAGATCTGAAGTAGTTGAAGGAATCGAATTTCAGCGAGCTAACAGAGAGAGGTGAGTATCTCTCGAGCGCGTTTTCGGCCGAGTCGGCAGTCAATTTAAGACGGCTCAGGTCAGCCCGGAGGCTGTAGCTGTCCAGCCCTGCCTCAGGGCAGCAGTATGCAGGAGTGGGAACTGACGAGTAGTGGTTGTCGCGGCGGCGGTTTTGCAAAAAATACTCCCCAGCGCCGAATTTGACGGACTATGTGGAGCGGAGCCCGACGAGCAGTGTGTGTGCGTGGAGAGGGAAACAGGAGGGCGGCGCGCCACGGGGGCTCGAATGGGGGCCATACATTAAAAGAATTCTTTTTAAATTACCAGTAACCCATCCACCCATCTCAAGTGCCATGTCCCATTGACACACATGATAACGCCAGCCTAAATAATGCCAGGGCACAAAAACGTCGCGTCAGCATTAGTGCACGGAGCTTGGCGGGCACTCCGGATCCTGCGTCGCGCCGATGACCGCGTTCACAGTCCTCTAACGCTAACCGGTGTAATGAAACCGGTAGTGGTGATTTAATAGTGGTCACGGTGTCTTTGCCCCTCTTTTAAAATCCCCCCCGTGTTGGCAATGACATACACATTGAGATGGGTGGATGGTTATAGGTAATTTAAAACGAAATTCTTTCAATGTATGGCCCCCGCCATTGGAGCTGTGCGACTGTTTTTTCAGGCAGCACATGTGGGTGTCGTTAGATAAATTCGCGATATTTTTCAAACGCCGGAACAACATATGTCATAAGCTGCTAATGGTGGCACAGGCGCTGGGAGTGTAACAGCGTGGCTACCTTAGCTTTAATATTGCCCCATTGGCCGAAAACGGTCGAGAATACTATTTTTCCAGCTCCCTGAAATTCACAATTCTTAAAGTATAGGATCCTATGGACGGATTTAATAGTGGTATGTTCTCATATCATAAAACCCCACTGCAGTGCCAGGCGCCCCCTTCCCCTCACCATAGCTGCGAGGGAAGTGCGGAATCCACGGAGCGTACGCAGTTGAGGGGGGCGCACGGAGGCGCCACGAGCGACCGGGCCCATGCCGGGTCGTCCGTGCCGGCCGAGTTGGCTGAGTGCATTGACATGGTGGCGAATGTGTCCTGTCGTTTTAAAGAGGGGGGCCTCCACTGGCCACCTTACTCCTGCAGCTGGCGCGTAGAACAGCGCAGGCGCCGCAGTGTGGATATCAGAATGTCTCTGGGTAAGTGTTTGTTTCTTTATCAGAGCGATCTCGCACATAACAGCTGTGAGCTGAAAATGCAGAAGAGTACTAGTGACTGTCCAGGCGGATGTATGTACACGGATTCTGTGAGGATCTCGTATTATCTAAGCGACAGTCGTGAGGGAAATTTTAACCATATGCGCGAAGGCGGGGTGCACCAATGTTGGCCCTTGACGGGTGATTCGAATAACGAGATATCGATGGCGCCCCAATTGGGTATGTCCACCACAGGCGGAACAAAGTGTGTGACCCCGGACCCCAACTTGCACCCTTAACCTATCACATCCAACTCTACCAGCGCGCCGACTCATCACTAACGACGTCCGCAGAGCCCACATAGAACACTGTGAGGGAAGGTCAGACCGAGGCTAATGGTAAACTCTACAGGAAAGGAAGCCCCCCAAGTAAGCGTGGAGCTCGAAGGCTAAATATACGAGCTGTGAAGGTGTAGATACCTGAGTAATCTCAGAGAGTAGAGTTCATAATCACTAAGTCAATGAAGTAAGGTCAATGGGCCTCCGGACTTCTTTACCGGTCTGTACAAGATTGGAGATGAGGACGCCGAGGTATTGAAATCCATTTCTGTTTCGTTGATTGCCTGAAATCCATAATTGACTTAATTCAATGCAGACGTAGTTGACACACAATTTGGCATTGATTAAGTGCGTCAGATGGGGATGTTGCGGATCTCGAGATTAGCAAACAGGTCCCAACGATATCCCGTGCTTGTACGTTGACACTCCACGGGCACCCAGCGATTCGGTTGGAGCCGCCGCTGGCGGGCGGCGGTGAGACTCCTGATTGTCGGCCAGCGTGCTACCAGCGGCCGGCAGCGAGTCCGCTGGCGTCGATTGTCGGGCGCGGCCGCCGGCGCCCACGGGGATGCCTAGACCCTGATTGGTCGCTCGGGAAGAGAGGAGGCCTGATTGGTGCGGCCCCGGCTCTATCGCCCAGGGCCTCCTGATAGGTCCGAATCGTGCTACACAGGCCCTGATTGGCTGGATGACTAGGAGGCTTCCTAATCTGTTATGGATACTAAGGAGGTTCCTGATGCTACGAGGCTCCTGATTGGCTGGCTTCTACGAGGCTCGGCTGATTGGTCAGCTGCTAGGAGGCTCCTGATTTGTTCGGTTGCTATGAGTGCCCCTGATGTCAGCTGCATACGAGGCTCCTGATTGGTCGATCTACGAGGCTCTTGATTGGTTTTCAGATGCTACAGAGCTTGCCTGAGTGTGGCTAGGTTGCTACGCGCAGCGGCCCGATGCATTGCGGTTGGATCTAGCGAGCTCGTGAGTTGGTGTGGCAGGTGCTGACAAGCTTCCTAATGGTCGCGACGTACTAGGGCAACGGCTCCTGCATGCTACGCAGGTCTGGATTTGGTGTGGCGTCCTATGAGGGCTCCTGAGCATCAGGTCTGCCAAGCTACACACGCCGCCTGTTGCCGGTCGGGAATGCTGAGGGGAAAGCTCGCCTGCATTGGTCGGGCGCCGTTGGACTTGCTACCGAGGCCCCCCACGTATGTGGTCGGCGCGGCCGACCCTGCCCTGATGGCAGCGCTTCCCTGATTGTCCGGGCAGTGCTATGGGGGCCGAGCGGAGGGCGAGGTCCTGATGGATCGGTATGCTTAGGAGGTTCCTGATTGGCTGGCTGCTACCGGCGGCCCATGATTGTCAGCTGGCTAAGAGACCCACGATTGGTCGGTTTGCTACGAAGTCCCACGATTGTCTGTTTTGCTATGAGCCGGCGCCGCGCACCCGGATTGCGGTCGATCCTTGCTGTGCAGAGAGGGCCGCACAATTGGGTCGGGGCTTTCGGTTGGAACGAGTCCGGAGCCAATTGGTCAGTTTGCTAAGGCCGCAGGCCCGACAACCCCTGCTGGTGCAACGAAGTTAGAAAGATTCCTCGGCGATTGGTCCAACTGGTCATAGAAACAGGTTCACGCCCCCCGCGCACTGCCTGGTTCTAACCGTGGTTAAAACACGTACGACCGATTGGGCCCCGACTGGTTAAAACATTATCCGGCATTCGGTCGAGGTGTTAAGATAATACCAGGCCGGCGGGCGCGCGGCGCGCCCGCCGCCGGCGCCGGCCTGACGGCCCCGCGCCCGCGCCGGCGCCCCGCCGGCTCGACCCCCCGGCCGAGTTGGCTAGACGGTGGTTAAGAAGCGATAGACCGATTGGTCGATGGTTAAAAGATTACCGATTGGTCATTGCTTAAAAGATTCAGATTGTTTCGATGGTTAAAAGAACAATGATGGGCAAAAAATAACAAAGAATTAATTATGCATTGATCATCATCGATTGATCCTCCAGTAGCTGCCGCCTAGCTCTGGTGATGTGTAACTGATGATGGCTGTGCCAACTCTTTGGATCAAATGCATGACAATGTCACTCCTTAGGGCCAATTGACAGATGTGGAGTGCATGGCATAGGCAGCAATGCAATATCAAAATATTGATGGATTAAATACGAATGAATAAAATCCATAAAAACCTGGCTTTCTCCTTTTTATTAAATATTTATATTAATTCCCACATATATAGTTCTTAAGTTTTAATTAAGTTTTCTCTAACGATCGTTGTCAATAGAAAATTTCATAATTATAAAGTTCTAGCTCCACTCATATGTCAGAGGCAACCACCAATTGTTAACAAATTTGAGTCCAGCAGTATAGGAGACCATTCAACATGACTCCAAGCACAAGCGTGGCCGCCACTAAAGACACTATGGCAGTTAAGACTGGTACCCCGCCCCCGGGCGTCCCGTACCACCGACCGCTCCCGGACCCAGTCTGTACCTCATAAGACTTTCCCCGATACACACTAGCATCAGCCCATAAGACCTTAGTGCGGGCCGGTGACCGTCGACATGAAAAGTTATGCGCGGCATCGTGCCCGTCCAAGCCTAGCATAGTTGGGCCGTAGTAGGGTTTCCAAATGAAAAAGTAACCCAATCAACCCGGCGTGACATGAACCTTTAGTCGAAAGATGGAAAGA